TTTGTAACCCGTATAAACTCAGGGTTCCTCATGGCCTAGTCTTCATATTTGTCACTTTCAATGAAAGGCAGTCGAGGGAGCAAATTGAACAAAAATAATTTCAATCTTTTTCCAGTCAAAGTGCTCAAGCAGCAATAATACAACAATGACAATGGCAAATAACGTGAAGGAAGATGCAATCGATATTCTTTAAGAACATGCCTTTGAAATCTTCTTACCTCATTATTTTAGCTCTATTTCCCCCTCCAATTCTGCTGCTGCTGTGAAACTCCACTGCCTACCATGGCCTCCTGGTCCTTCCATCAAACTTTCCCTTTCATCTCCTGTTTGGGTTTTTTCTCTTTCAGGTTTCCAAAGTCCTCCCCTGACTGATGTTTTCAGTCTTCAAAGTGATTGATCTATGATTTACTTCTTCGACTGGGGACGAGTGCACATGCAATTAGACTAGTTTCTTGCAGGTTAAGATCCCTTATTCCTGTTATGCAGCAAGTACCTCATGCAAAGGAATCTCCTACATCGCTTCATGATGGCCAAGTTCTTCCCTCCGCTCTTTAGTGTGTGTCAGAGGCAGCAGCCAATCTGTCTTAATCGCCTGGGTTTGAATGCACTACTTACTCTCTGGGATCTTCCAGATTGCAATCTTTGTCTCTGCCACTTGTTACTGGCCTGTCCTTGTCAACCTGTTTTCATTCCGGGGCTCAGTTCTTTGTCTGAAAAAATTCATTAAGTGTACCTAGTACCTAGTGTTTTTGTTGAAATGGAGTGAAATTGCTCATGTAGATTTAGTATATATAATAGTGCCTAGAACATGGTCAATACTCTAGAATACAATAAATTAATAGTAATTTATTTCTACTTAAATACTAGGAGTAAATCGTGCTTTGGGTCACCTCACTACAAAACAAGTGTATCTCAGCATCTCCCGAGAGAAGGGGGTCTCGAGTCAAAATGGATGACATGATGAAGTGGGGGTGCAAATACCCTGAGATGAGTGGGACCTGGGGTCCTGTGTCAGTGGAGAGAGCGTCTGTCACCAGCATGGAACACAAGGAACGTTCCATGGGAGGAATGTTAGGAACGATGTTCCCTAAAAGTTCCCCTTCCTCCAGTCCAGATGGCTCCCCCGACCCTCAACGTGACCAAGGGCAGAGATGGCTACATCCTGCACTGGAAAGAAGAAGAAATGCACTATTCACACATAGGTTGCATCTTCCAGGTCCAGTACAAGAAAGATGAAGAGACATGGGAGGTGAGGGCCTGTGCCTGGGGAGGGACCGGGATGGGGGGAAGGGACATTGCGACAACACTGGGGACAGTGCCACCTGCTGGATGCCTGGCTCCCAGCAGGCGACCAGTCAGAGGGAACCACTGAGACTTGGTGGTCATGCCCCTGTGCGGTCAGCCAGTCAATGTCCCATCCCTTGGTGAAGGAGCTGAGACTCACAGAGCTGATGTGATTTGGCCAAGGTGAACATGTAACCCTGACTGCAAAGGGGACGTAGCTGTTAGGACGGGGAGGGCGGAGAGGCAGCTGCATGAAAGGATTTCAAAAGTCATAAAGGGGGCGTTTCTTCATAAAAAATCTCATGGAGAAAGCAAATGTGCAGCTGCTACGGGGAGAGCGGCTCCTGGTGAGGCAGGCAGGGCCCCAGCCCAGGGTTCAGCATCCGGCCCCCACCCCAGGCAGCCCTCGGGCCTGCATGCAGAACCTGGGGCTCGACAGAACCCAGATCAGAAACTTCAGAGCCAGTTTCAGACTTTCAGGCTGGAAATGGGGAACCTGAAGCCAGGAGTGGGTGGGTCAGTGGTGGAGCTGGGAGTGGTCCCCTGGCTCATGAACATCTGTCTAAGGGTCCAGAGCCCAGTCATCCTGCACCACACTCCTGGGAAGGCCATAACTGGGGTCCAGGCTGCCCCAGGAGGAACTGGGAGATTGAGGGGATCCCAAAGTGGCAGGGGGAGGGTGGCATGGTGACTCCTCAGAGTTTCTGCTCCTCGGTGTTGTCATATGTCACAGAGTTGCAGTGCAAGAGGTGCTATCTCTGTGCCCATCCGGGTGCTGTCCCTCTTTGGCCCTGGAGTGTGGTCCTCCATGGTGGGAGTCATGTTGCCTCAGATTGGGGGACATGACTACAAGCTGGGGGACTGATGGGGAGCAGGAAAGCTGGGGTGATGAGGTGGGAGGGCTCTGTAGCTGTGCCCACGTGCGCCAGGCACATTGCCTCAGCCTCAGCACACCTGCTCCCACAGGAGACCAAGACGGAGCTCTTCCAGAATGCGCACAACATGCCCCTGCCACCTCTGGAGCTCGCCACCAGGTACCAGGCCAGAGTGAGAGTCAAACCCAACCCCAGCGGCTACAACGGGATCTGGAGCGAGTGGAGTGAGGAGCGCTCCTGGGACACTGAGTGGGGTACGTCTCCATGGCCCCCATCTGCCCCTCCTGGTACAGCCCCTCTGGGCAGAGGATGGAGGTGATATGGACACAGAGATGTGACTTCATCCCACACCAGCATCCTTCCCTCCCAGATGTCATTAGCATTTAGAAGTGACACCTTGTGTGCAACACAGACTGCAGGTGAGGTCTTGAGAGGGCAGAGGAAAGCATGTCACACCCACATTTCTCCCTCAGACTGGACCTTAGCCCTCTATTAATGTGACCCATGCTTTCATTAGCCTTTGTGGCAGCTATCACCCAGGGACCACTCAGCCTGAGTTTTTCTGTTGCCATGACAGCAAGCATGAGGAGCTACAGACTGGGGCTCGGGATTGGAAGGCTCTGTACTTGCTACTTTCATTTATCCTTCACCATCACCATAGTGACCACCAGGAGACAGTACAAGACTAAGTCCATGAGGTGGTTGCAGAGAGGGGGTGAAGTGTTGGCTGCAAGGTCCTCTGTCCCAATCACCTTAGCAGGGAAAGAGCCCCCAGGAAGAGGGCCACAATCAAATAGAAAGGAGGCCTGGACCACTGGACCTAAGGGAAAGAGACCAGGGGAGTCCAGGAGGGGCCTCCTTGTGAGGGGCTAGAAGCTGCTAAGCAGAAAGTTGTGGGGGCCCCTGATGGGCCTTTGCACCTTCAGGTTCCTCCACCATCACTGTTTCTCCATCTCTGGCTCTCCAGTCCTCTCTGTCCTTGATGACCACCTTATATGCTACCTCCTTCAGGAAGTCCCCTGTGATTGCCACTGGTGGCAGTCGCTGGCCTCATGCAGCAACTCCTGCTACTGAACAGGCTCTAACCCTCTGTGTCCTGCCAGCAGTTGAACTTTATGGGTGGTTCAGACAAAGGCCCTCTTCTTCTTAGCATGTTTCTGGTCTCCTCTCCTCCTCTGCGCCCCACGATGGTGATGTCACCCAAACTCCTGAGCCTCCAGCCCTTTCCCTCCCCAGATGCTAATGCGCCTTCTTCCTTCCTGTCTTCCCTAAAGTGCTGCCCACCTGGTTCCTGGCCCTCATCCTAGTGGTCATCACCCTCATCCTGCTCATGGCCCTGCGCTTCTGTGGCATCTACGGGTACAGGTAAGGGGACTCCTTCATGTGTAGGGGGAGAGACCACTCAGGACCCCCAGGGGGCACCAGGGACCCCACAGCTGACTTACTCAAGTCTCTGCTCTGCAATCCACACCCTGTGGGGCCTTGGACAAATCCCGTCCTCTCACTGAGCTCAGTTTCACATCTGTACGTGAGCACGAGACAGCTTCCTAAGGTCTAGGGCAGCTGTCACCTCCCTGCTGTCTTTCCAGGCTGAACCAGAAGTGGGAAGAGAAAATCCCCAATCCCAGCAAGAGCCACCTGTTTCAGGTAGGAGCTGTTGTGAGGGCGGCAGAGGTGCTGGGGGCCAGTGCTCCTGTGACCATGTCCTCAGACCATGTTCTCCTCACCTGCCTTTGAAGAAACTGGGCTCTGAGTGCTTTGAGTCAGGGGTGTAGGTGGCAGGGAAGTGCTGGGAAGCGCTGAGGGTTGGGGCAGCCCCTGCAAGCCCAGCACGGCAATGCCCCAGGTCCCACAGCTGCATGAGGCGCCCTGCCCAGGGGGACTCCCGTGGAGCAGGAGAGATGGCTGGTGTGGGGATGCCAGGACCCAGGGGGCCCAAGGAGGGGCTTAGTCTTGCCAGGGGGCAGGTGCGGTGCTGGGAGGCAGAATGGCTTCCCGAGGGCAGGACAGTAGAGCTGAGCTTTGAAGGATCCAGGGTGGTGGCCGGAGGGAGAGGTCGCTGCACGCAGAAGGGAAGCATGTGGAGGGTGGAGACAAGACTCCCTCAGGAAGGGAACTGAGGGGGCTGGGCAGTGAGGCTGGGGGCGCATCTCAGGAGGCAGGAACAGGAGCAAAAGGGAATCAGAGCCCTGGGGTCAGGCAGGCAAGGCGGGAACTGCCTTGAGAGCGTCTGGTGACCAGTGTGGAGAAGGTGAGGTTGCAGGCAGAGATATTGCAGACTAGCTTACTCATGGGAACAGGGTCCCTGTCCTTGGATACCCCATGACCCCGGGGGAGTCCCAGCCCCTCTCTGGCCTCATCTCCCTGATGTCAGGAGGCTGTGGCCGGTCCTGCTCATGCTGAGATTCTGCTGTGTCTGGGGGCTCCTGAATCTCCACCACCCTCATCACCCTTCCCCCATCTGCACCTTCTCCATCACCCCGACTCCTGAAGTCACAAATGTCCTTTCTCTTCCCAGAACGGGACTGCAGGACTCCGGCTCCCAGACAACATGTCCATCCTCACCAGTGGGAGCTGCCCACACAAGGGGCTGTGGAGCAGCAGCTACCCTGAGCTGGACGAGTGAGTGTGGGGCCTGGGATCCCTAGGAGTTGGGAGGGTGGACTCACCCTGCACATCACGGGCTCAGAGGAGGTGGCCTTGGACTGGGGTTCAGGATGAGGAGATCCATGGAGGCTGGTGGCTCAAAAGCAAGAGGTATCCCAGTTAGACATCGAGAAGAACTTCCTGATTCCCAAGTTAGCAAGGGCTTGACCTCACACTTGACCAGAGGCAGGAGACTGGACCAGATGGCCTCCCCTCTTCCTGCTGCCCAGGCAGACCCCACCCTGCCTTGGCCCCACTGGGTGGCGGAGGCTCTGGGAACCCCGTGGCATCAGCACCTGAGCCATCAGCTCACCACTAACCTCAGGGGAGGGAGGTGAAGGACATGGAAATGGCTGAGCCCAGGTCGGGCACTGACCTGGGCCCTGAAGCTGGGTGATGTCAAGGAGCAGAGGGTGAGCAGGGCCACACTTGGTGGAGGCTGGCTTTGAGCAAGAGCATGGGGGCTGGGGAGCGAGATCCTCGGGGGCTGAAGGAGCGCCTGGTTTCCTGCTCTGGGCCTGCTCCCCCCTTGCCCTGCCCTGTGTTTTCTGTGAGGCCCCACCCCGGGTGGAGGCGGGGGGGCAGGGCATGAGCTGAGGCATCTGCCAGGGATGGTCCTGACATCTATGCCCCTGTTCACCCCACAGGGTGTCCCATGTAGACTACAGGCACAGTGAGGTGTCACCTCTCACCACAGAGGACCCTAAAGAAGCTTGTGACTCATCACGTGAGACTACCATGACTCTGGCCACCTCGGATGTCCCCACGGAGCAGCCCCCCAGCCCTCCAGCAGGCCTGGCAGCCCCCTCAGGCCAGCCTGAGAGCCAGGTTTCCAGCTTTGACTTCAATGGTCCCTACCTGGGGCCGCCCCACAGCCGCTCCCTGCCTGACATCGTGGGCCAGCAGGTGCCCCCACAGACAGATGTGAGCAGGAGGCCACCGCCCCCAGGGTCCCTGGAGTACCTGTGTCTGCCCCCAGGGGGGCAGGTGCAGCTGGTCCCACTGGCCCAGGTGATGGGGCAGGGCAAGGCCAGGGACGCGGAGAGGAGGTCCAGCCCCGGGGCCGAGGGTAGTCCCTCCCTCGAGTCAGGGGCAGGCCCCGCCCCTCCGGAGCCTGGGCGAAAGGTGGGCAGTCAGGGCCTGGAGGACAGGGCCCCCGCAATTCTGCCCACTGGCTCTCGAGGTCCTGAGGATGGTGTCGTAGCCTCTGGTTATGTCACCACTGCAGACCTGACATTCACCCGGCCCGCAGGGACCCCGTCTGCCTCCCTGGCTCCCCCTCTGGGCCTCCCCTCAGACCAGAACCCCAACTTCTGTCCTGGACTGGCTGATGGGGCCCCTGCACCCACAGCCCTGCTGAAGCCAGAGTTTGAGGGCTATGTGGAGCTCCCTCCAAAGATGACCCAGTTTCCCCAGTCCCCTGTGGCCATTTCTGCCCCTCCTGTAGCCAGCAGCTCCTTCCTGAGCCCAGGGCTGCCCCGGGCAGATGTGTCTCCAGCCTCTCCAACCCCCGAGGGGCTCCTGGTCCTGCAGCAGGTGGGTGACTATTGCTTCCTCCCTGGCCTGGGATCTGGCCCTCTCTGCCCCCAGAGTAAGCCCACTTCCCCGGGACCCTGTCCTGAGATCAAAGACCACAACCAGGTGTTCCAGGCCAAGAAGCCGCTGTCTCAGGCCCTCCCGCAGGTGCCGGCCATTCAGCTCTTCAAAGCCCTGAAGCAGCAGGACTACCTGTCCCTGCCTCCCTGGGATGTCAGCAGGCCCGGGGAGGTGTGCTGACGCCCTGCAGACTCTGGGGGAGGGGAGTAAAAGGAGAAGTTCTGCCTTCCCTCCCGCCCTGCCTTTCTCTCCTGCCAGCCTCTGGTCCCTTCCACGGCCACTTCTGCAAAGCCAAGGAGAAGCTTCCATGTTGCACCACATAGAGACCAGAAAGACGAGTCAACCATCTACCTCCTCCCTTGACCTTCAGCAAGGTCAAGCTTCTCTCCTCTCCCTCTCTGTCTCTCTATCTCACACACACACACACACACACACACACCTTCCTTTCAAGTTAACGTATTTTACGTTCTGAATTATTCGAGCTTTCCACACAGATCCATTTCATTTGCCTTCATTTGCCTTTCTACCTGGTTTCCTTGCTTTTACTCTTCTTTCTCTCTTCACCGATTTATTATTCGAGTGAGTCTGAGGTCTGAGCTAAGCCTATTCTGAGGTGTCCTGTCTCCACCAGAGCCTATTCTGATGCTGAAGTGCCTGGCTGCGTGGAGGGCTTCTGTCTGTCCCCAGGAGGCAGGAATGCACAGGACAGGTTCCAGCCCAAGGGCAGGAGGCAGGAGGCAGGAGGTTCAGGGTGGGGGCCTTAGGGGTTTAAGTCTTGGAAGAGCAGCCCAGGGCCGGGCATCCTTATGTCAGGCACCGTAGCCCCAGACACGGTGACAAAGCACCAGTCTTGAGCATCACTCCAAGAACTGGGAGTGGCTTGGGAAGGACTGTTCGGAGCTCCTGGGAAGCCCTGCTGGTCTCATCGAGGTAACGGGGGATCCTCAGGGACTGCAGGTCCTGCATCATGTGGAGACCACTGACCTGAGCAGTGGGCAGCTCTGGTTCTTGGCTGAAGTGCTCTCCCTCCTACACCCCGGGGCCTGGGGAAATTCGGGAGAGAGAAGGGTCCAGAACCCACGTCTACTGTAGAAAAGCTGGAAAAAGGAAAATGATCCAAGGGCAGGGACTCTTTAAAGCGTATAGTCTGAATCATCTGACTCCTTCCAGAAAGATCTGACGACTCCCGCCCCCACCAGCCACGTACGAGGGGCTTCACTGGGGGTCGTGATCCTTTCACAGCTTTGCTTTGCTGATACGCAAAAAGAAAAACATGGCATTAGATTGTTCTAATTTGCATTATTTGATAACTCTCAAGTTTGCACATATTTTCGTATTTTTGGGGCGTTTGTATGTTTCTACTGGGCTAAGCCCGTGAAGGTCTTTGTCCTGTCGGATATTCACCTTTTTCTGACTAAGTTTTAAAAACGATTTACCTGTCTATGGCTTTTCAGGGATGATGCAAATTTGTTTTCCTATTTTGTGGTTGGTCTGTGCATTTCGTCTGCAAAGCTTTGGGGTGTACAGAGTGTAGGCTTGTCCGTGTGGTCCAATAGCTCTACGGGTGAATGGCTTCACGGCTCCTCTTTTGATGTGAGATTCATAAGGGTCTCCGCCACTTCAAAATCACATTTGTCCTAAGTTATGTTTTTTGGGTTCGTTTTGCTTTCAAGATTTTGATGTAAAAATTGTAATGATTTGGGGAGGTATGCATGTGGGATGGAGAGCTGGCTTATCTGGTTCCCCAAAATGAGTAGCCCAGGTATTCTGGCATCATTGGTTGAATCACCTCTTCTTTGTCCATGTATCTGAAATGTCACTTGGCTTTACCATTTGTTTTAATAAGTGGCAGAGCAAATGTTCTGGTTCCTTTTGTCCACAAATCCCTGTTCATTACAGCAATGTTGGTGGTGGGAGAAAATGATAAACAACTTAAATTTTCACCAATAATGAAATTAATCACATTTGAGATCCTAAGGTGGAATCCTGTGTTAAAAATGAATAAAGTGAACCCACATGCATTAGAAGGAAGTCCAAGATATTAATTGCCAATTGTTCAGACATTGTTAGCTGAAAAAAATTGCAATAAAATATTTTTTATTATAAAACAAAACCAAACCCTAAATGTGTGTATGTGTGTTGAGGTGGCTGGGGAGGGGTGCTGTTTGAAAGCACAGTTGCAGTAAGGAGGTAGAATTCTGTTCAGCAGAAGGGCCTTTGGTCTTTGAGGTGCTACAGTGAGTTACGGACAGTTTCAGTGAGAATAGAAATGCTGTATCTAACAGAGTGAGAAGCAGGTGGCACTCCCAGGACAAGCCAGGAGGGAGTAAGGGAAGGAGACAGGCGTTGGGGGAGAGGAATATAAAGGATACATTCACTTTAAAACAAAAAAAGTATTCTTTATTATCTGAAATTCAAATCTAACTGGACATCCTGTGTTTGGTCTCCAGTGAGAGTGGAGAAATAGAAAGAGACTGAATTCTCCATAAAAATGGATGAGAATTATTAACAGCTTACTCTTGGCAGGCCCTGCTCAATTGATTTAAGGGATCACCACCCTCTGAGGCAGGTACTATATCTTTATCATACTCTTTTTGTAAGTGGGGAAACAAAAGCACAGAGAGGTTGTATAACTTGCCCCAGGTCAACCAGCCGGTGGGTGACAGAGGTAGGCCTCGAACTCTGGTCCTGTGGTTTAGAGTCTGCCCTCGAAAGGGAGGTATCTCACTGGAAGAGCCACACATGAATGTAAGGTGATCCATGTTGCTTGCAAGGCAGAGAAATTTATAAACCGAGCTAGTTTGGTGGCGGGAGGGAAGACTGAGCCAGAGGTGAGCATAAAAAATGTTTTTATTTCTTTGGAAGGTAAGTAATGAGGGGGTGGGTTCTCACTCGCTGATGTCCTGATGTTACGGAAAT